CCAATTGTCCAATTATTAACAAAATCTTGGCCTTCTATGATTCCATGTCACGCATTTTAAGTCTAACCTCTATTCATAATGTTTTTTAATATTCAACTCAGACAAATAATAATTATTGATTTAAGAATATACTTAGTAAACCTTAATATATGAAAATTCATATACGAGTTGAGTATACTTTTGTTAGTATATAAATTGTAACGTCACATTTTTAACTTATTTATAAATTTCAGCATTAGAATTCAAGAGGGTGATATAATATTGCATTTTTTTAATTTTATTTTGTGCATACTTTTCTATATTTGAATTGACATTTTAACATAATGAGATAAGATAGGACAGGAGAAACATTTAAATAATAAATTTGAATTTATATAATAAAACTTGTAGTATATACCAAAAGTAAAAATTTCAATTCATATAAACTATAACCCTATGGTCAAATGTGATTTAAATAATTAATAAATATCGTGCGTGCCACACGAATTCCAAACTTTGCTTTGTCACATATTTTATTTTAATTTATTTCTTCTTATGATTGTATATAAAATGATTAGCATTGTTGGACCACATGGTAGAAATTAAAGAGATAAATAATGCATTTTCTTTTTTCTCTTGGTTGTGGAGCCAAATCATTTTATGTCCCTTTTATTTTATTGACATTGGAGATACTTTTTCAACCAATATATTCACATTTACATTCATTTGTTCTAATTTTTATACAAAAATATGAAACCAAAAAAAATTATATGAAAGAAAAAGAAAAACCATTATATCAATTTTGAACGCTTTTACATTTTTTTTTTAAATAACGCCTTTAAATTTTTATTTCTTTTATAAATACGACGCTATAAAGTATACATTTTAATTGTCGAGCTATGATTGGATGATTTCAGCTCCAATTTGTTATCAATGAGCAAAAATTAATGGATTTTAAGTTGGGTGAAATATAAGGTATGATCAAATTCTGTATATGGGTGTGAAAACCTCTCCCTCATAGATGTGTATTAAAATCGTGAGATTGACAGCGATACGTAACTGGTTGAATTGGACAATGTCTGCTAATAATATGCCTGAGTTGTTACAAATGATATTAGAACTAAACATCGAGCGGGATGTCAGCGAAGACGCTTGACCTTCAAAGGAAGTGAATTGTGAGATCTCACGTAAAATCGGAGAGAGAGAGAGAGAGAGATAATTTTGAAGCATAGTGAGGAGGTTGCTTAAGATTGTATCCATATGGTTAGCTTATTTTAAGGTATAAAGTGGTAGTTATAGGATAACATGATTAAGCAAGCCTTAATGTTTTTTCCCCCAAAAGATAAACATTTGATTGCTTTGTTCATATATGTTTTTCTTTGTTGCAATAATTGCAATTAATTATATAAATATCATGATTTCAAACTTGAATACCACCACCTTCCTATATTTAATTAATTCTAATTAACATAATGAACTCATTAAATAGCCTTTTATTTTAGTGACGCACATAATATTCTATTTTAAATCCATTTTGACTAATTTAAAAATTAAAAACTACTTGTTTTTTTTAATATATTTATTAACAGAATTAAAAAAGATATAGTATTTACATAAAGCATTTTAATTACTTTATAAAGGTTTGAAATAAATTTTAGTTTTATGACGTTAACTTATGATACAACACTTGTAGATTTAAATGTGGTGGGACTAGTGAGTGGGCACCATCAAATAATTTTTCCAAATAATTCAGATATTTTTCATCAAACCTTTTTTATTTAATAAAAAATAAAAATAAAACCACGAAATTAAGCTTGGGCCCACTTTTTTTTTTAATTTTATTTTACTATTATTATTTTTCTTCTGGGTAAACGACACTTTCATTTAATAAACAGAACAATCACTCTAGGCTACATGTAAATTGAGGACTTTTCTTTGCATCCACGTACTCACACCCCAATAACAAAATAAAGCTCGTAAATATTTAAAATTATTATTATTATTTCATTTTCAATTTCTACAAAAAAAAAAATAATAATAATAATAATAATTAATTAAATTAAAATGTTAAAGAGTTTTAATAAAAAAAATTTTAATTTGTAACATAATATTCATCTTCGAAAATCGATCGATCGGGTCTTATATTTTTATTAAATTTGTTTATCATTTTTTTCTACAAAATTTCCACTTGTCAGCGAATTCTCTCCACACAGATGTGATGATATTAAAGCTTAATTATTGCGTTTCATTTCAATTATTAACATTTGTACCAGTCTCTCAACTAACCAAATTTATTTGATGTGATATTCTCTTTGTATCTTAATATTTTCTAGGCTCATTCTTTGTATACATTTCATAAATTTTAGTTAAATTTCAAGAAAAAAGTTGTAGGTGTGAGAATTTAATTGGAGTCTATATAAATATATTAATAAACCAACTTTTTACCTTTTTACCCTTTTATTTTATATCAATGAAACCAAAAAAAAATGAAATTTAATATTTCAAATTATATATATAAAAAGAAAAGTTTGGCATATAATCATAATTTCAATATTTTTTATATTTTAAAATTAATTTCCGATAATAAATGTCATTTATACACTTGAAAGAGAAAGTATTTAGGTTAAATATGTCATTAAAATTTTAAAGTTTTAGCCTATCATTAGGTGAAGTTTATACAAAAAAAAGTTTAATTAACGTATATTTACAATTTTTAAAAATTTCATTAAAATGACATCATAATTAACTCGAGTAAATATTTAATTTTTCAAACAATAATACATCGTTGTGCTATGAAATCTACAGTAAAATTGAAACAATAAAAGTATTAAATATGGTTTGAATAATATATTTATATTTTATAAATTTAAAAGTAATTGTATATGTATATATACACACAACGGGAAGGCAATGGAGCAAAAAGGGCTACAATTTTTTAATTCAACTTCCAACAATAACTATAACTGCCCAACCAAAGTTAATGGCAATAATGACCTGCACACGTGCGTAACCGACTTTGCACGTGACAAAGAGGATGGAAAATGTTTCCTTTTTTGTTTTAATTAATAATTATAATAATGAAATTAGGTATTGGCAAATGATGAGGTGTGGCTTTCAAGCGTGTGAAGGGAGGGTGGGATTCACGTGAAGAAGCCACCCCCAAAAGTTCACACGTGAGATTCCAAAGGTTAGGCTGTCAATCATCAATTCAGTTTTGGCAGTTGGTTCTAAATTTTATTTTTCCTATACAAAATCTGTTTTTTCTTTTAAATAAAAATCTTAGAACATTTGAACTTTAAAAAAAAAAAAAAACACACAGAATAGTTTTGTACTTTAAAAAATATATTTTTTTCTTTTCTTAAATTTTAAATTTTAATACAATAAAAATAATTTTAATAGTTTCAAAATTTTCATAAAACTTTCCACCATCGTATATACCTTTAATTATGCAATTTTATGGACTATGCTCAATTGGTCAACGATTAATTTTCAATATTTTCAAATATAATAAATATCAATGTATTATTATTATTTAATTTAGACTATTTTTTATCAGTTTTAATTCCTTTTTCTTTCTACCTACATTTTCATTTGTTTATATTTTTATTTTACTCGACCTCCGTACAAATATTAGTTAGTAGGTTACACTTTTATTATGAAATGACCAAACTGACCTTACCAACTATAGTTTGTGTGGATGAAATTAAGGTTTAGAAGGTCATGTTGCATGAGCTAATTCAAAATTCAGTTCCCAAAAGGGCATTTGCTAAAATGACCGTCACCGATCCAATTTCAAAGTTTATGTAATTTTAATAAATATCAAAATTAAATAAAAATATGGAAATTACAGAAAATTAAGCTAGTAATAGTGAATACTATGAGACCGAAAAGTTCTTCTACCGATCAAAACCGACCAAACTAGCCTTGGTTGGTCGATTTGTTTATAGCGTCAAACAAAGTCAATTTTCTTATTTGAAAAAATCATCACTTCCATTAATTGTCTAGGAAATGCCTAACCAACTTACCTAATTTTGAATGCGCTTAATTTTTATAATTTTATTTTTTTAAACAACGACGTCATTTTGTTCGTGTCTTCGATCCTTCACGTATAAGTAAAAAAAAAAAAAAAAAAACACAAAACCTTAACTATTTAAGACTCTTTCACGTATCTCACTTCTCACTCTCAATCTCTCGGTCCTTTCTTCACTTCAACTCCGATGACGTCATTCATTTTACCTAAGATTTTGACATTTTCCTTTCCTCTCCGATTTTGACACCAGACCTCATTTTCTTCGCCACTTAGAAGCTACCAACAAACTAGAAACGAAAATCCTCCAACTACAAAGAGTAAGAATTAAGAAATCTAAACGTCTTCAATTTTAATCTCTCAATTTGATCTCTCTAATTTTTTTCTTCAAAACTTACAAAATCAATCAATCCAGTAGACAAACCAAAATTCAATGCCGTAAGTTCAAATCTTATTGAATTTGACTCCTTTTTATAATAATTCATTCTAAACACGAACCGAAAATTAAATTGCATAACTATATGTTCTAATATGCGAGATGTTATAGCACTTATCAAAGTAATCGATCATTTCTTTAGTTAAATTTTCTTGCATAATCAACATCGATCCACGGACTAACACCCGCAAATAAATATGGTGTTATTCTATTTATTTAAAGAAATAACAAAATCAAGAAAAAGAAGAACAAGACAACCAAATAAACGAAAAACATAATTATTAATGTTGTCATTCAAAAAAAAAAAAAAAAAAAACATTGGAAAGTGTGCTCAGCTCACACGCACACACTCCAAAAAAAAAAGGGAATGTTAAAATTTCACAAATTTTTATTACCTCTCTCTCTCTCTATCTATCTTTCTCTCTCTTACGTCTTCCTCAAATTAAAATAAACAAATAAACAAAAATTCAAAAGAGACAAATGGAGCAGAAAAAAAAAAATAAAAAAAAATAAAAAAAATAAATAAATATGAAAAGTGACGATGAAGAACACAGCCCCCTCTTTCTCTCTCCTGTTTGATTCCTTCTTTCTTTTTTGTTGTTTAGAGAGAGATTTGAGTGTCTTCCTTTTTTCTGTATACCCAAAACCCAAAACAAGAAACTCTCAAACACTCCAAATTCTTCCCTTTCTATACTCAACCAAATTACAACATCCAAACCCTTCTCTTTTAATTTCTTTTCCTCTCACTCAACACACAGATCCAGCTACTTTTTTCCTTTTTTTTTTTTTTGTTGGTTTTGCAGGTCGGATTATAATATATGGAGTTTCAATTCTCGATCCAACGACGACGAACAAGAACAAGAACAAGAACGATTGTTATGTGATATGGGAATCGCTAAAGGTCCTTTAATTTTGTCTAATAAGCCAACCAATTGTGCCAATTCTTCTATGTCCCACGATTATCATCCTCATCAAGGAATCTTAGCCTTCTCTAATCCCTTAGACAAATCCAATTCCCCTTCTCTCCCTCACCAGATCCGCCGTGATAAGCTTCGAGTCGACTCCTTCTCCGCCGATCCACTCCCTCCGCCACCGCCTACGGTGGCTGGAATCGACGAACATCTCCACCATCACCATCACCATCACCAACAGCATCTTCACCATGTCTATGCTACCTCACCTACTGAGGGGACCATGTTATCAGACATGTTCAATTACCCTCCAACTCCCTCCGCTGCTCCCGCCTCCGTTGAATTCTCCGACAATTTTCGAACTTTACGCCAACCCAACTCGGCTTCCGCCATGCAGCTTTTCTTGATGAACCCTCCTCCGCCGCCACCACCACCACCACGATCGCCCTCGCCACCTTCTACCTCCTCCACTCTCCACATGCTCCTCCCGAATCTACCGTCGGGTTCTCTTCAGGGTTTCGAAAGTGGTGGCGTTGGAGATCAGACGGGGTTTGGCCAATTTGCTGTCGCTGAAAATCAAGGGCTTTCGCTCTCGCTTCACTCGTCGTCGTTACAACACTTGGAGGACGTCGGAGCCGGTGCGAAAGCGGATGAATTGCGAATTAGAGATGGTGGGATGTTGTATAATTACAACAACAACAATAATCAAGTCCATGGCGGAGGAGGAAATGGATCAAACTCCTCAATTTTGCAATATTCTTTTAGGAATAATTCAGAGAATTCTCCTCATAGCTTTCAAATGAATCCAAACCATCAAGTTCAAATTGGATTTGGGTCTTCTTTGGGAGTTGTAAATCTTTTGAGGAATTCAAAATATGTCAAAGCCGCTCAAGAATTGCTCGAGGAATTTTGCAGCGTTGGTCGGGTTCAGCTCAAGAAAAACAAGTCCAATATGAAGCAAAACCACAACAATCCCGACACCGCCGCAGGCGGCGGTGGCGGTGGCGCGTCTTCGTCCTCCACAAAGGATCATCCTCCCTTATCGGCTCCTGATAGAATTGAGCATCAGCGGAGGAAGGTCAAACTATTATCCATGCTTGATGAGGCAAGAATTTCTCTCTCTTCTCTCTCTCTCTCTCTCCCCTCTAAATTTCACCTCTTTCTTAATCTCATGAGTCAAAAACTACAAAAAATTTAATCTTTTTATGAATTAATTTCTGGGTATTTGTTAATTACTTGAATAGCCGGCTGATCATCAATGATTTTCCACAAGCTAACACAACGACCAGGTTGGTAGGGTTAGATTTCAAAAGATTTTTTTTTTTTTTTTTTTTTCTTATACAAGATTTAATTGATACCCACTTTGTAAAGATGTATATCCATTTGCAACTTAAAATCTTTGGCTTACGAACCAACAATATCAAATAGTATATATAAAAGTTGACCCAAATACATGAATTTGGCTGTCAATTTGGCTGTATTTGGAGAAGAAACAATGGCGAGAAACACCAAGGATTATGTTATTCTAAATTTAAATTTTAAAACAAACATAAAATAATTAAAAAACTAAACCAGAGTTAAATGTTAACCATCCATCCAGGTCGAACGCAGGTACAACTTATACCGCGAGCAAATGCAAATGGTGGTGAACTCATTTGACTTGGTGATGGGGTTCGGAGCAGCAGCGCCATACACAACGCTAACGCAGAAGGCGATGTCAAGACACTTCCGGTGCTTAAAAGACGCCATAACCGAGCAGTTAAAGCAGAGCTACGAGGCATTGGGGGAGAAAGGTGGAAATGGAGGCTCGGGAATAACTAAAGGAGAGACACCAAGATTGAAGCTTCTGGAACAAAGCCTCCGCCAGCAAAGGGCTTTCCATCAAATGGGTATGATGGAACAAGAAGCTTGGAGGCCACAGCGTGGCCTCCCTGAACGATCTGTCAACATCCTTAGAGCTTGGCTGTTCGAGCATTTTCTTCACCCGTACGTATTATTGCACTTTTTTGAGCTACCCCTTTTCATGATTCGCAAATTATTGTTCAAAGTTTGCATCTTTTGTGGATTTGTCATTGATTACACCAAAAAGTTGGGTTTTTTTTTAGGTTAATTATGAGTGATTGAAAGGAATAGTGATGCAGCGTCCTTGCATCAATGTGAGATGTTAAATCAAGGCTTAGGAGGGAAAGGAATAGGGTTTTGAGGGGATAGAGCGATGGGAATGTAAAAGAAAGGAGGGGTTTGATTGTGATTTGATGGTGTGGTTTTTGTTCAGGTACCCCAGCGACGCAGACAAGCTCCTGTTAGCTCGGCAGACTGGTTTGTCCAGAAATCAGGTTCCTATGCCCTTTTCCTTTCTCTTTCTCTACTTTTTAACCTGCATTTGCACTGCACTCCTTTACACACCAAACCCATTAGCCACATACAGAGGAATGGAAGAAACAAACAAGTTTCTTACTCATAATGTCCATCAAATTGGAAAAATTCAAACTTTCCTTTTTCCCTCTCTCTTTCTCTCTCCTCCATAACGTTATGAAGGGAGAGAAGACATTATTCTTTACCTCATTCTTGAGAATAGTAGGAATGATCATGAGTTTGTAAGTAAGTAATACATCTTCATTGGTGTGAAAATTTTTGTTGGAAACCAAAAGTAAAGCATGAGAGCTTCTGCCCAAGGTGGACAGTATCGTACCATTGTGGAAAGTCGTGATTCCTAACATAGTATCAGAGTCATGCTCTTAACTTAATCATGTCAATAGAATTCTCAAGTGTCAAACAAAGGGTGTTGTGAGCCTTCAAGATGTAGTCAAAAGTGACTCAAGTATCAAATAAAGAGTGTACTTTGTTTGAGGGCTCAGCCTCAATGGAAGCTCTATGGTGTACTTTGTTCCCGTGGAGGATTGTTGGGAGAGGAATCCCACCACCGCTAGTTAAGAAGTTCATCATGAGTTTATAAGTGGACAACATCATACCAAACATGACAAAATCCTTAAAAAAAAAAAAGATATAATTGTTGTTTGTTTGTTTTGTTTTGTTTTATAGGTTTCAAATTGGTTCATTAATGCAAGAGTTCGTTTGTGGAAACCCATGGTAGAAGAAATGTACCAAATTGAAGGCAAGGACGAAACAGATCACTCTCATCAACAACAGCCATCAAAAGACGATGACGACGACACCACAGACAATAAGATCCAAAACAGTGCCATAAATGCACAAAATCCAACTCCCACCACCGCCACCACTTCCTCCATTCCACCGCCGTCTACCACCATTGCAGAGGAAGGTGCGGCGGGGTTCACGGCGACCCATGATCAATTCTCGGAGCTGCATGATGTGTGGCGACATGGAAGCGGACAACATTATGGGACCATGTCTGAGGATGCCAGAGCAGCGACTGACGTAAGTAATGGTCCAACACTTATAAGGTTTGGAACCAGTGGTACGACAACCGGTGACGTGTCACTCACTTTAGGTCTCCGCCACGCCGGTAACACTTCCGCCGCCACTATGGATAACCCTTCTTTCTCGCTCAGAGACTTTGGTCACTCTTAGAAATTAATTAGAACTTCCCGCCCATTATATGGATAATGATCAACAAATCAAAATATAATCACCCATTTTTATTTTTATTTTTATTTTTATTTTTGCCTCTTTTAATAGAAAAATTAATTAATGTATAATGGTCGAATCTCTATGTACGTACAAAGCTTCATTTGTGTAATTAGGGCTTTGTTTTGTGGGGTTGATTACATTATTGTTAATTGTATAGTAAGTTTTTCTTAATATTTATTTCTATATTATTTTTAGTTTTATATCTCTACTGTTCTGCCTCTAGATAATCATACATGAGTTCTTCTTCGGGTCACTATCATCTCGAGGTTGTTTAGACTCACGAGCTTCCATAAGAAAAACCGAACCACTAATGTAAGGAAGCAAACCACTTACGATAAAGTCATTTAAGCTAATTCTCCACTGGTCGCACGTTAGAAACCTACTGGAAGAGATTTTATTTTTTCTGAATTAATTTAAACTATCCTTCAGATTAATGGTTTTAAAACGTGTCTATTAGGAAAATGTTTTCGCACTCTTATAAGAGATGCTTCTCGTTTCCCTCTTCAACCGATGTAGGATCTCACAATCCACCCCTATTGGGACCCAATGTCCTCACTGACACATTGCTCAGTGTCTGACTCTGATACCATTTGTAACAGCTCAAGCTTACCGCTAATAAATATTGTTTGCTTTGGCCTGTCACGTAGCACCATCAGTCTCACAGTTTTAAAACGCATCTACCCACCCTCTTATAAGGAATGTTTCGTTTGCCTCTCTAAAAATTTACTCAAAATTTAAACATAGAAACATATTATAACTATAAATACATAAGAAACAAGATAGTTGTCACATTGAAAAGACAAAACATATAAAGAAGTTACCCATAAACACTTGCAACAGTTAGTTTTTCTTTTCCCTTTGAAAGGGGTTTTCCAATTTGGTAGTTGTTTTCAATGAAAGCTACATTTGTTATGTTTTGAGCCACCAAATTCAATTTGTTATATATATATATGTGTGTGTTGCTATTGTATATTATATAGTTTGCAATTTAATTTGTCACCAAACCCACCATTCATATATGTTTCCTTAAATCACAAAACAATCCTATGCAAAGCAACAACAACCTATTACCTAATATGTCTTTGTATTGCCACTTACTTTTTGTTTCTTTTTGTTTTACAAATGTTAATTGTTATTTTTATATATAATTATTCTATATAACACATGGTGTATTTTACTATGGTAAAAAAAAAAAAAAAAACGCAAATGAAAATGATGACATACAAGAAAAAACACATAAATTATGAATATAATGATGTCGACAAACATTGACAAATGTTAAAAATTGAGTCATTCTAGACCACCACACAAGTACTTTTCGATGATTGTCATTACCCGTCGGTGAGTTTTCATCTTTCATATATCTTCGAGTCGCATGTCGAAACTTATATAGAAACCTTGACTTTTGAAGTTATGTCACAGGATCCTACTCGCTCCTCTTCGAGCTTGCCTTCGACACTCGTGTCACCTCGTTCTCTCAAACTTTACATATGCCACGACTTATCTTCAATGCACACTTTTGATGTGTTGGATGATACACCGTTCTCCTAAGTCGCATCGTGACACTTCTCAGCCTTGACCCAAACATGGCCGGATGGGCACCCCTTCTCTGTCACAATCCCACTTAAAGAACGTCATTACTCATTGATTTGAAATCACACTTAAATTCAAACACAAAGAAAAAAGACAAAATTTTAAACATCTCATCAGCTGTGGATAGTTTTTTTTTCTTTTGTGGGGTTACAAGTTGTGAAACCCTAGTTGTATATTGTGATGTGATGGTATTTATTACCATGTTTTTGATGTCAAAGGAGGGCTTAGTTTGGTGAGTTAACAAAGACAGCATCATAGTAGGGAAGCTTAAATAAAGAGGCAGCGACACACAGGACAGGCACAGACACAGACACACACAGCCCTCAAATAAAACATCCCTTTACACAATACAACAGCCAATGCCCATTTCCCTCACTTTCTTGCCCAAATTCAACTCATTAATACCGCACACCCATACACAGACACAGTGGATAAAACCATTCAGCCATCCTCAGACACAGCACACAAACCACCAAATTTTGTGGGTCTCTTCCTGTTTCTGTTTTTACTGTTTCTCTTTAATTCTCTATACTGTTTTTTTCTTCCTTTCTTTCGTACATTTCATCTCTTTGTTCTTCCAATTTTAAAAATTTTTAATTGCTTCACTGTGAATTCAATTTTCCCATATAATCAATGCATGTCAGTAGCTGTAGCTGCTTTTTTTTTTCTTTTTTCTTGGGAATATGGGTTGGTCAGAAATTTAAGTTTTCATTCAATGTGACATAAATATTGTTTTGTGTGGGAGAGACGTAAATATTAAATAATTTTAAAGGACCACTTTCCACGAATAATTAAATTTTGGGTAAATTATAAATTTATTATCTGTAATTTTAAATATTATAATTCAATTTTTATAAATAGTCTCGGTTTTATTTAATCGTAAGAACTGAAGTGAAGAGAATTGTTTGTTTGTCTTATTTAAAATTGGAGGCACGCACATGGCACGTGAATCTAAGCCAGCCAGACAACAAATTAACATTAATTTCCTCAAATTTTAATCATTATGTTGTCATAATTTTTTGGGGCCTACATGGGCTGGATGACCTGGGCCGGGCCCATCTCTGACGATTTCTCCTACTGGGCCCAAACTTGATTAGGGCTCTACATTCAATTCTGACCAATAAGCTAGGCCCACTTCCCTTTCTTGTGTCTTCATATTTGCATTGAATTAGTATCTAACAAACTTCTTTTGTTTCGTACATTTTTTAGAAAATATTTTCCTTGGAAAGGGTAGTTATGTATCTTACGTGGCATTACTTTCATTTCAATGAAATAAATAAATAAATAAATATATATATATAAATATATCTCGCTCGTATAATAAAGTTTAGGAATGAACTGTTCGATAAAACTTTGTAAATAATTCATATTATTGGAAATATTTAGGAAGAATTTTGAAAATTATAGAAACTCGAGATTTTAACATTCTTGAAATTATAGGGACCAAAATTGCAATTTAACAAAATAAGTGAACGGCTCGATAGAACAGTTTTAAAAACAATCATACATAAAATACACTCAAATGTAGCTCGATCTTGCATCCAACTTATGCTATTACATTGCAAATTTAACTCACAAGAGAGCAATTCACTTCGTCGAGAACGTTCTCGACGAACATCGAAGTTAATTCAACATAAACCATAAGCAATACACTCAGCAGATAACATAGCCCAACCATTGGCCAGTTTTGTTCATCTTTTCATCACAGAGAATTGCTTGAACATTACATATATCTTTACTTACAGTGACATGTCTTCAAGGCTCCAACTGGGGGGTGATTGGGTTGCTTCCTTGTGTCTCGACGTAAGGTCGTACGAAGGTCCGACGCCACCAAACCTCGAACGCTCTTTGGAGATTTGGGCAACTATCTCCAACCTTAAGAAAACTGCCCAACCAAGTCAGCAAAATGCTTTGCTGATCCTCAAGTGGGAGAGTGAGGATCGTCCGACCGATTCCTTCTTCCACGACTTTTCGATCAAACGACCCACAACCATGTTTTAACCAGCTATAATCATTGATTAATGGCTCTAACCATGTATGTAATAGTAATTTACGTGTATCCTTTGCTGGTAACAGCTCTCCTTTGCCAATGCCAACAAATAGCCTTGCTGTTATGCAGCTAACATGGTAGCGAGATACGATCGGCAGCTTCGCGTGGAGGGCTGCTAGTTCCTGATGCTTCGACCACATTACCGCAAACTCATCAGCCGCTTGCCTGTCAGCTAAAATCTCGAGCAACCACGAAAGGTTATCGGCCTCTAGAGTAATTTGCTTCAGCACTGGTTCTTTCCTGTCTACTGATCTGTCAATAAACTCTGTTTCAGTAGCCTTCTGGAACAGTAGCAATAGTGATCCCAAACAGCTTCTGCAAGAAGAGTAAATAGTTTCATTGCAAATGTCAGCTGAGTTCGCGTGGCTCGGGACGCTTTGGTTCTCCCTAAGAAGCCTCAGTACCACCAGTTTCATTTCACGTCGACCTCGCTCCTCGTTGCTTTTAAGAACAAGTTCGATGATATGAGAAAGAGTATCTTTATGGGGCTTAGATACATCTGCAGACACTCGTTTCAATACCGGGCTCACCCCAATGCCCTCTCTTTGAAGTCGTAGGATGGACGTGACGACCTTTTCCTCTTCTTCGTCACCAACCCAGGGGACTGCTTCCAAATATTCTAGACATGATTGCATGCATGACATAAAACCAAGAAATTCAGCAACCTGCAGAACAAGTATTTTTGGTAAGTTTTATGTCCGTTACACACACTTGAAGGGAGATGTATAAGCAATGACGTGCCGCATGATATTGCCTTGGCGATGAAAGATAACACTGTCATAATAGAACAATCGTGAAGATCCTTCTACTAGCAGATATTGTCTTTTTTAGGCCGTCACGTATCACTATCAGCCTCACAGTTTTTAAAACGCATATGGTAGAGAGAGATTTCCACGCCCTTATAAGGAATGTTTCGTTCCCTTCTCCAACCGATGTGGGATCTCACAATCCACACCCCTTGGAGGCCCAGCGTCCTCGCTGGCTCACCGCCCAATACTTGGCTCTGATACCATTTGTAACCGCCCAAGTCCATCACTAAGCAGATATTGTCCTCTTTGGGCCATTACATATCGCCGAAAACGCGTCTATTAAGGAGAGGTTTCCACACCTTTATAAGGAATGCTTCGTTCCCCTCTCCAACCGATGTGAAACCTCACAATATTCAAGGCTAGTGACAATACTTCATCATGCCACTCGCAAGACTAATGACGTTCTTTCGACTATAGCTACTAAACATCAGCTGGCCACTTTACTTTTATTTATTGTTCCAACACTAAGAAAGATTGGAGCATAAAACAATTGAGCTAAACAGCTTTCAAGAGACAGAATGTAATCATTAATCAGGAAGCAGCACAAACAAACAATCAAATGCAATATGAAAAAACGTCATAAGAACATTCTCACAGAAGGAAGAACAATATCCTCAAAATTTATGAACATGATATCCAATGACTACAAGAATCAGCATCTTACCTTCAGAATTCGAAGAACACGAGAAACATTTTGCTTCATCAACCATTGCTTCATTTCTTTGCAGTACATCAATCCCACAGTTTCAACATATATTTCAACATCTTCACAATCACCAATTTCCATGGAGGAGCCTTCTTGATCAGAAAGTTTATTAGCAAAAAAAGTACTATTATCCATCAACACGTTCTTATGAACGCTCAACTTTACCGAAAATCCTTGCTTCCCGAGTAAAACGACCTTTATATTACTAGTCCCTGGCTCACCAAACTCAATTGCTATTTTCCTTGGCATATTTTCAACCTTAGGCCGTGATACCCTGTGTACAACCTCTGGAGCATTAAATCCAGAAGTATCAGCATTGCCTTTTCGATCGTCATCAGAAACAGCAGCCGACCGTGATCTCGTGAGTGCTGGTGGCTTTCTATCAGTCACGAGGGTCGGTTTCTTCTCAACAGGGATCTTAGGGGGTGGGGAGGCAGGTTTGGGCTTGTTTAGAGGATTTTGATTTTTGAGGGTCTTTTGGAAGACAACAGGAGAAGGGCAACACCAAAACCCTTCTGGGGTTACAGCAATTGGCACATTTTTAATCTTGGTTTGGCCTTGTTCTAACCTACTTAACCTTATCTCAGCCATTCTTATTGATTTACTGCACCTTGTGTAACAATGGGGAAACGGATCATTAAGAACAAAAGATACAGAGCACCTAAGAACAGCCGCAAAAGCTTTCTACTCAAGAAAAGAAAAGCAAGATAATGGGAACTTACAGCCTTCTACTTTGTGAATCAAAGACTCCAAGCTTTGAAGAACATCAGATCAGACGACATTGGATCTAAATTCATAAGAACTATGAAACTGAAGGCGAAATGGAAGAACACTCAGTATTCGTATTAGCTCCAGAATCGAAAGCATTAAAGCATCACCAAGAGATTCGCAGCCTCACACATAAGAAAACCTAACAAACTCGAACACCCGCGTACTGAATTTGATCATTCACTCACCAGCTAATGCGATACCATCAAGACCTAAGAAGCCAGAGAAAACCCACCACTTATTCGAAACCAGGACAGAGTAATATGATTCAAAAGGAAGCTATGGTGTCGAGCATCAAGGGAACCAACGAACAAAGCCTTGTAAATGGAATAATTAGCGAAGAAACGCTTTTACTTTGTGAATTAAAGAAAAAACCAGAAGACCCACAAAAGAAAAAAGCGAAACGAAGCGGTGGGTGTGGGTGTGGGTGTGGCTCTACTTTATCACTTACCGATTTGCCTTCTTCTCACTTTTGATGATTGAATCTCGATGTGGGTCTCTCTCTGAATTAGTTTGCACAACTTTTCTGCTCTGTAATCAAACACCAAAGAAGCTTTCTCAGTAATCAATCAAACAGGCACGCCCCTCCTCATCATTTCGAATTCTACTTTTCAAATTTTATTGGATTCCCACATCGCTTTGTTTGTTATATCTGTGGATATTCTAAGCATGCCCCAAATTAAGAACCCCCTTCGCTTTCACTCCGCATCAAAATGTCAGTACAGTGACTGAAATGCCCTTCTCAACATTGCTCATTTGCGAGCTCAATAATAGAGGAAAAGGGCATCTCCAGAAACACACCATTTTTCTCAGTGGAAGCTATACTGGTTAGTGGTAGTTGTTGAACTTGATAATCAAGTTTAAACACTTTGATTGAGAGATTAGAGAGTTTGTCTCGTAATTAACTAAGAACAAACCAAAGCGATTTGATTATGTTGGTGGGGCCTAATTGAATTATGGAACTGAGATTTGGATTAAAAGAATTCAACAGAAATAATTTGAAGTCAAAGTAATTTCAAAATAATTGAGAAGAACCTGATCTTCCCCAAAGCAACCTCATTTGTCAAAGCTCAAATTTCGTAAGGCTCTCCTCCAATCAAAGCATTATTTCTTTATTTCAAAATCAAACTTGTTTAACATCTCTTGTGAATAATCCATGTTGGGGCCCATACTTTAAGCAACCATTTAGAATTCAAAACTTCTTGAAGATATTTGTTTTCTTGTTTTGTTCTGTTCTTCACTCTTCCACTTGTTTTTTGTTCTTCAGTCTTTGGTTTAGACAGGGAGAGAGAAGACAACATGACCACATGCAGACAGATCAGATGACAAAGTATGAGACAATGTCTTGAGAAAACTTCTTGACCTGTTTTTTTTTTTTTTTTAATTTATTAATAATTTTGAATTCTAGGTTTTGTGGATGATGAATTATAATGGAATTTGAGTGCAATTATTGAGTGTGGTATTATTTTTGTTTTTAATGGAATTAATGAATAGTTTTAAATGAATATAATCATAATATTTCACTAAAAAAGAGAGGGAAAGAAATAAATATAGGGGAAATAATTGAAAGAGATGGATGAGTAGTGAAAATGGGCCAATGGCAACTACTCCAAATGTTACAAAGGACGTGGCCTCGTTGGCAAAACCTTTCCTTTCAACGTACTCTTTTTAATTTCTAACGTCTTTTCTTTCCCCCGAAGCTTGCCTACAACATGCATCGGGTGGTTTGAAAATCCCGTGCAAGATATTTTGGTAGAGAGTATAGGTTGCAATAAAGCTTTCCGAACTAACAACTCTCATTGCTTACGTATAGCTCAACTCAACCATGCTTCCTCATTTTCATTTTCGTGGGTTTTGAGCTTGACACAGAATTCATACTAATTTAGGATTGATTTATGAATAAGTATCGTGATATCGGGTTGTTAAAATTTTTCTTATTGTTCTTAATTTTTTTAAATATGTAGATGTCATCGTTAAACATCAATTGTTTTCAAGAGGTTCTTAAGTAGGTTATGATATAAATGATGATCCCTATTCAATATTGTTTATTACGTTCATGTTCATGTGTGCTCATTAGAGCGGGTCTTTACTTAAAAGAAGTGGTGTCCCCTTAGATAACATTAATATGTTGTCTCCACCTACTCTCTTCATTATAAAAGAGTACATGGGTAGAAGGGGCCACATTATGGGGAAAGAAAGGAATTAGTGGCCTTTCTCCTCCGACTTATTTGATATATCAAAACCATTTTTAAATTTCTATATCGGTTTCGGTAACGTGACTTTGTTCGATAGTTAATAATAAGGGTCTCGTATTCATAATTGTAAGCGTTTGATTGAAATCATATACATGAATAGTACGTCACAAATAATCCTATCACTATCTACCTCGACAATTTTATCGTCTCAATTTCGTTGATATAGGTAGCTATATATGTTGAGATGCTGATGTCTGGGTTGAAAACGTCGAAAACTTTTACTGATTTTTGACCGATAAAGAAAGAAAGATGAATGACATTCATTAGTCAAATATTGTAACAACCCAAACTCACCGCAAGCAAATGATGTTTAGTTCCCCTCTCCAAATGATGTGGGATTTCACAATCCACTCTCTTGGGGCCTAACGTCCACACATCGCCCCATGTCTGACTCTGATCCCATTTGTAACAGCACAAACCCACTTCTAATAAATGTTGTCCGCTTTAGCCTGTTACGTATCGCCGTCAACCTCACGATTTTAAAACGCATCTACCAGGGGAGGTTTCCACACCTTTATAAGAAATATTTCGTTATCCTTTCCAATTATCTTTTCCAATCGATGTGGAATAAGGTATACAACGAAACTATCGTTCTTCTTACAGCATGCATAGAAACCAGAAAGCTTTTGGTTTGGTAAAACAGCAACAATTACTGCAACTTCAGCTGCCTTCTTCTTACTCCAATTCATACAACTTCAACTTTTCTTTTGTTTCATTCATCAATGGTTTTCAAGCAGAAATGTCACAAAACATAGACAAAACACAGAGAATCTTTTAGCACAAACAAAACAGGACAAGGACCATGCAAAAAGAATAATGTTTCTACTGCCAAATCATAAGCCATTGCATGCCCTTCATTATTCATGCACCTTCTCTTCCATATTCCTTTCTCACTCCTCCTCCTCCTCATCATTTGTTCTTATTCTCACTCCTCAAATCAACACTCATAATTATTTGAGTACTCAAAGAAATGTTCTTATCTAGTTTACTTGGGCTGCCTTAAAATTTAACCTTAAAAACAGTCATTTTAAGCTCTTTCAACTTTTTTTCTTCAGTTTTCCATTAATCTTTGATTAAAAAACCTTAAAGATGGATTAGTTTTCAACTTTCCACCAAACCCATGTGAGTGATATTAATTTTCAACCAAAGAAAGGAACTTTAAGACATGTCAGATACAACTAAAACTTATGGTTTGGCGTTGACCCATAAAGAGTTGCTGTTCGATCGGATAAGCTCTGGAGAAAAAGAGAAATGGCAACACCATCCAAGTTATACAGTTGCTGCTCTCTGTTAATGGCGTTTCTGTTTGCTTATTCCACAGCTGTTCAGTTTAACGATCCTGGTACTCCAAACCCTTTTCTTATTATCCTTCAATTAACAAACTGCCAAATGAAGATCCAAACTTTTCAATTTCTTAGGTTACTTCCTGTTGATGATGATCTGAAAACAAAAAAGCTCAATAAAAATTAGATTATCTTCATAAACTGGTTGAAATTGTGTTAGGAAAACGAACAGATCTAAATAGATAGCTCTATTCGACAGATTGGTATTTGTGGATTCCACTATATGGATGTGCTTGTGCTGTGAATCTTCTCAACTGGGATGTGTCCTTACAAGGCGTGGCTTATATTGCTAAGGCAACACTGGGACTTGGGATATGTTTGTGGGTGAAGGTGGTAGCAGAGGATTTTGTGAATGGAATTGCAGGGTTTCTCTCTCTAGATTTAAGTGAGAGAGTGGTAAGGGAGAAAACAGGAAGTGGGTTGGTTGTGTCTTCCATGGTTTTACACCTGATAGCAGAATCATCATCATCAATCAGAACAAGAAAAGGGGAAAGAGTGTTTTCAAGATATGTCTCGTACGGTAAGGCTAGCTCGATCGTATCAACTTTTTCATTTTAGTCCTTGCACTTTTTATATCTGATTTTCGGGTCTGGAAATATGGTTGCAGGAATGGCATCGTTGGTGGCATTTAGTTATGGACTTCCCATTTTCTTCTTCTTGATTCAAATGGGCAAAATGAACTTCTGAATCATGTTGGACAAATGTTACAAGAGAAACTTCAAAAGGAGGGAGAGAATGTTCTTCAGATCAATGTATTTTCCAATTTACAACGAAAAAACTTGATAAAAGTGATCTATTCTGATGAACAATTATATTGGATGATCTGCCACAGTTATGAATTACGATACACTTTAAAACAACCCATCACACAGTAGCTAAAAAGAGAGACAAGGAAAATATTTATTCCTCAAACTTCCTTAAACTTTGGTTGGTGAACAAAAAAGCATTTACAATTTGCTAAACTAAGTTGATCCAGAAGTGAAAATAAGATAAACACGACGAAACTACAAACTAGAGAAGGTTAGAGGGCGTCGGCCATTTTTCGTATCGGTAACAAGTTCCTACGTACAGAAAACTTACCACTTTCCTCTGATTCCAACATTTTAGGCTGAGGGAGTTGCTGGCTTAGACGAGGCATAAGACTTTAAATAATCCACAAAACCTGCAAGGCATGCGCTTTCAGATTGGTCTCTTGCTCCTATTTCCAAAATATAAAGCTCCAGATCTTTTTCCCTCGAATGATAGGTTTACATGTTCTTCAAATGTTTTAATATAAGGTGGCCTCAGCAACTTGAAGATTCACAGCCATTTCCTCCAGGTGATTGCTCGCGTCGATAATTGAATGTCAGCTCTTCACCAGTGGCTATCTGCATAAATATATGTATACAAATCTTTGTATGAAGATCGTCTTTGAAATGTTTCCGGAATAAGATTCTTAACGTAGATCGCAAGTTAAGGCTCACTAGGTAATAAAACGAAGACGACGAGTAGAAAATCAATGAAAGATCCTAAACTTGGTTGGTGTATGTATCCCAGAAGTTAAAACCAGTTGCAGAATAATTAGAAACTGAAATATAATCTGACGCCATATACTATCAAAGCAAGCACTTACATCCCGGTTCGCATACAATCCAATGTGTGAGCGCTGATATTCCATGCTTTCGACAAGGACTTGGTAAGCTACAAGATTTGGTGAGCAACTGCAAACAATGAAGATTTTCAATTGTAATAGAGTAGAGAAGTACGCCTCTTGACAATGCACAAGATACATTAACTGACTACCAAAACTTCACGTTGAATGATAATACAAAACAATTCATAAATAATATAATTGTTAACAATACAATAAGTTATATGCTATTAGATAAATGAAGAACCTTAGCATAAAAAAAATTAAAGGTAAAGAAGACTAGTAGCCTATTAGAAATTACGACCCTCTACAACGGTATGATATTGTCCACTTTGAGCATAAGCTCTCATGGCTTTGCTTTTGGTTTTCCCAAAAGGCCTCGTACCAATGGAGTTGTATTCCTTACCTATAAACCCATGATCAACCCCTTAATTAGTCGACGTGGAACTCCTCTCCCAACAATCCTCCCCTCAAACAAAGTACACAATAGAGCCTCTTCTGAGGCCTATGGAGCTCTCGAACAACCTCCCCTTAATCAAGGCTCGACTCCTTCTTTGGAGTCCTCGAACAAAGTACACCCTTTGTTGGACACTTTAGTCACTTTTGACTACACCTTCGAGGCTCACAACTTCTTTGTTCGACATTTGAGGACTTTATTGACATGACTAAGTTAAGGGCA